TTTTCTCTTTGGTTTGTATTAAATGGGAGGTGTCCCAACCTTTACATTCCCCAATTTTAAGCTGTCAAAGGGTGTCTGAGTCTCCACTGTGGGACGCCACAATGGTCCTCAGTTTTAAAGTCTCAGACACCCATCAAAGTGTGTCCTACATTCTGTGTTTAGAAGCCCTAAAAAAATTACTGCCAGGTGTGACTTTTGGCACATAAGACTGGTCAAACTTCCGCTCGTCACAGAGTTTTGTTGGGATCTGTTATAAACTCTCTGTTGGAGGGTGGGTTAGGAAGGGCTTAGGACTACAACACAAGAACTGAAAGCTAAGGAAGTAGCTTTGTAATTGGCTCTGAAACTGTGGTTTAAACATTCGATAATTTGGTTTCAGTATTAAAACATTTAACACTCCCAAATTATAAATTTGATTAACTGGTAAAATTCCTTAGTTGGGGTTTATGAACAAATGGACAGCTTCCTCCTCAGATCCCTTCTTAGGATTTATAAAAGTGGATTATTTGTTGAATTAATCTGGTGATGTAATTGCAATCCTCTATTGAAAGTACCTGGTTGATTTGATAGTTATATGGTTGTTTAATTTGTAGTTTAGTTTAGCAATATTAACAGAAGCTTAGCTGATATTTTCTGGATTTTGTTCAATAGTTTTAATAACATTTATGAAACTGATACAGAGTCACATTTCTTTCAATCAGCACCGTAGGTCCAGACCTTTGGAGGGCTGCATGGATAACGGCTGGTCAATTTTAGTCCCTAAGCAGCTCCCCTCAATTAGCCTTTGGTCCTCACAGCCTGGCACTGTGTGGCTAGAACTCCTGGAACTTTCCTTGGTTATCCCGACAGTCAGTGACAACCCCTGGATGAAAGAGACTTATGTAGGGTGGGGGGCTTTTGTCTATTATTTCTCGGCGTCTGTCCCTTTGCTTTCCTTATTTTCTGCTCTAAGTTGTGGGTCTAATGGGTGTCAGGGCAGACAAGCTGCTCTGACAACACACTTTCCAGATGCGGTCCCTGCCTGCTTAGTAGGCCTCATCTGACCCTGCTGCTGAGAGAGGGAACCTGCACTTGTGAGACTAACCCAGGGCCCAGCTTTCGGCCTGAGCAAATATCCATGGAGAAGGGTGTCCTTGCTTGCCCAGGAGAGGGTGCTCGCTCTGGCTACATGTGACAGCTGTATAACCACCCATCCACCTCTGCCCATTACAGAGTAACTCCTTCCTTTCCCTCACCCCACCATTTTATCGCTGCCTCTATCTGTTAAATCTGTTTCCCTCTCCTCAAGCCCCAAGTCACAGCTTTAAGGGAGCTGAAAACGTTATGGCTGCAACCCATTTAACAGTGTCACTGTCAACATATTAACACTAGCATCCGAGAGGAGAAATGGGCTATGCTTCATGTGCAAGCCTAGGCAGACCTGAACTCAGCCCCATGTGCCTGGGGGCGAGTCACGTAGTCCCTCAGGGGATAATCGCGCTTCCTGATCTCGTGGGGTACTGAGAGAATAAGTGTGTTAAAATTGGTGGGGTGCTGAGATACTAGTGATGGGACCCAGAGAGGAGCCTTGCCTAGGCAGGTCGATAGATCACAAACGTACCAATATTGCCATCAGAACTTAAGAGATGTGTGAAAGGCAAAGCCGATGTCAGTGAAATTCCCTGCGAGGAAGCAGAACGCCTGCCTCACATGGCCACTGAGAAGTTTGACACGGAGGGAAAGAACCCAAAGCACAGGAGTAGGCCACAGGGCGCAAAGTAACGGCAACAGTAACCCTCTAGCACGACCCCCCTAAGCTGTACGCACCCATTATGGGCCAGGGGCTCTTTGCCCCACACCTCTAGACTCACCACAGCAATTAAGGGCCTCTGAACTTGCAGAGCCACAGGCTGAATCATATCCAGGATTGAGAACGGCCAGGAGCTGAAAAGGAAACATCCCAGCGATTAACAAGGGCCACAGAGATGGGCCAAGGCAGTCCTGTCCCCAGGAACATCCCCCACCACCACTACCTGAAGCGAAGAAGGCCAACTCGACCATTAGTGGCTGTCTCCTCTGGGAACAGCAGCAGAGGTGGATTCCCCCCATGGGACGAATACACCTTCAGGGAATCCACCAGCTCTGCCCGGCTCCCCACTGCCCCTAGCTCCATGAATCCCCGTGACCAGCAGATGAAACCCGGCGTGCCATTCAGCGCAGGCTGCAAGAGAAGAGCAAGGGCAAATTAGTGACCCCCACCCGGTCTCCCTGCTAAGACTCCAGCCTGCTGGTCGATGTGGATCCAGACTGCCCGAGAGCCCTTCCCTCCCCAGACACTGCAGCAGCAGCCGGGTGTCCTCCGAACGGCCCCCAGCTGTGAACGGGAGGAGAGGGGCCTTGGGTACAAGATTTGTCATCCCTCCCCACACCAAGCGTGTTGCCCTTCAGGACTGCGCAAAATACAAGTCCTCTCAGGGGAGAGTGCTTATTAGGGCTATCGATTAATTGCAGTTAACTCACGTGATTCACTAAAAAAATAAATAATTGCAATTAAAAAGATTCATCATGATTAATCGCAGTTTTAATCGCACTATTAAACAATAGAATACCAACTGAAATGTATTAAATATTTTGGATGTTTTTCTACATTTTCATATATATTGTATTCTGTGTTGTAATTGAAATCGAAGTGTATATTATTTTTTATTACAAATATTAGCAGTGTAAAAATGATAAACAAAAGAAATAGTATTTTTCAATTCACCTCATACTGTAGTGCAATCTCTGTCATCTCTTTGTCATTTGCAAATTTGACCCCATCAGCTCAGGATTAAACAAAGACTGCGAATGGCTAGCCAACTACAAAAGCAGTTTCTCCTCCCTTGGTTTTCACACCTCAACTGCTAGAAGAGGGCCTCATCCTCCCTGACTGAACTGACTTATCTCCAGACTGATTCTGGCCTGCATATTTATACCTGCCTCTGGTAATTTCCACCACATGCGTCTAACGAAGTGGGTATTCACCCATGAAAACTTATGCTCCAATACATGTTAGTCTATAAGATGCCACAGGACTCTTTGTTGCTTTTGTCATGAAAGTGCAACTTACAAATGTAGATTTTGTTGTTGTTGTTACATAACTGCACTCAAAAACAAAACAGTGTAAAACTTCAGAGCCTACAAGGAGATAATGCTGCCCTCTTCTTATTTACAATGTCACCAGAAAGTGAAAACAGGCATTTGCACGGCACTTTTGTAGCTGGCATTGCAAGGCATTTATGTGCCAGATATGTTAAAAATTGGTATGCCCCTTCATGCTTTGGCCATCATCCCAGAGGATAAGCTTCCATGCTGATGACACTTGTTAAAAAATGTGTTAATTAAATTTGTGACTGAACTCCTGGGGGAAGAATTGTACATCCCCTGCTCTGTTTTTTACCCACATTCCGCCATATATTTCATGTTATAGCAGTCTTGGATGATGACCCAGCATGTTGTTCGTTTTAAGAACACTTTCATTGCAGATTTCACAAAATGCAAATGTGAGATTTCTAAAGATAGCTACAGCACTCGACCCAAGGTTTAAGAATCTAAAGTGTCTTCCAAAATCTGAGAGGGATGAGGTGTGGAGCATGCTTTCAGAAGTCTTAAAAGAGCAACACTCCAATGTGGAATCTACAGACCCCGAACCACCAAAAAAGAAAATCAACCTCCTGCTGGTGGCATCTGACCCAGATAATAAAAATGAACATGCGTCGGTCCGCACTGCTTTGGATTGTTATCGAGGAGAACCTGTCATCGGTATGGACGCATGTCCCCTGGAATAGTGGTTGAAGCATGAAGGGACATAGAAATCTTTAGCGCATCTGGCACATAAATATCTTGCAACACCGGCTACAACAGTACCATGAGAACACCTGTTCTCACTTTCAGGTGACATTGTAAACAAGCAGCGAGCAGCATTATCTCCTGTAAATGTAAACAAACTTGTTTGTCTGAGCGACTGACTGAACAAGAAGTAGGACTGAGTGGACTTGCAGGCTCTAAAATTTTACATTGTTTTATTTCTGAATGCAGTTTTTTTGTTTTGTTTTACATAATTCTACATTTGTAAGCTTAACTTTCATGATAAAGAGATTGCACTACAGTACTTGTATTAGGTAAATTGAAAAATACTTTTGTTTTTTTACAGTGCAAATAATTGTAATAAAAATTAAATATAAAGTGAGCACTGTACACTTTGTATTGTCTTGTAATTGAAATCAATATATTTGAAAATGTAGAAAACATCCAAAAATATTTAAATAAAAGGTATTCTATTGTTGTTTAACAGTGTTATTATTGGCGATTAATTTTTATAATGGCTTGACAGCGCCAGTGTTTATTATTTCTATTGTCAGCAAACCCTCGCCACACAGCATCGCTCAGTGCTTCCTGGGCAGGTGCAGGCAGCCCTCTGCACCCACAGGAAACAGCCAGCACCCTGGGAAAGCCCCAAAGCCAGCTGTGCTTCTGCTCATGTCTATTTAAAGAGCCAGGAAGGGGAGGCAGAGGCTACATGTTTGCTTGGGTGACCCGGTTCTCTGTCCTTCCTTAACTTGAACCAACCAGAACCCAACACCATAACATACAAGCCTAAAGAGAAGCTCAAGGCTTGTTCAATTATTCATTAATAAAGACAGACCCAGGAGCCAGTCCCCAATCCCGGAACAGGTCACTAAGTGCTTCTCCTAGGGGACGCAGCCCCAGAACCCTGCATGACTCACCGTATTGCACGAGGTCAGTAGGTTGATGACACTGTGGTCGAAGTGCGTCACGTGGTTGGCAATATAAACCCTGACATTGGCATCCCGGAGATGGGGGTCACTTTGCCGCACAAACAGACCCAGCACCGAACACATCACACGCACGATAAACCTAACAACAGGAAGAGAGACCCCCAGCCCCATTGTGACCAGAACTGGTTTAGCTGACCAGTGAATAAAGACGAGACTAGCAAGGGCTATACAGACGCTGCGGGATTAGGACTGAGGGGCACCAGAGATGTGTTATGTGGGGGGACGGGGCGAGTGGGAGGAAGCTCAGGGCTGGGATAGCAGGGGCACCCACCAGCAGAACTGTGTGGGGAGAGCTCAGCACTGGAATCATGAGGGAGTGGCTGCGGGTGTACTTGCTGGCTGCTTGCCTTGCTGCTCTCAGCCCCTGCAGTCTGTCACTTGGGCAACAGAAACCTGTTGTCAGGCTGCATGTGTCACGGGGCTCAGGCCCTAGAGTCACCAGCAAAGGAGCCTCCTTGCTCAGG